TTAATCCATTCCGCCTCGTCGAGTTTCACGTCAACCAAAACTCATAAAGAAGGGATCTCCACTTCTAACGGTAGGACAACTTCCATACCGTACACTAAGGAGAAAGGAGTTGCCCCGTTTGACGTACACACCGTCGTACGATAACCGTGCAGTGCGAATGGCAACATCTCGTGCCAATCTTTGTAGGTCACAACCATCTTTTGAACAATCTTCTTGATGTTCTTGTTGGCCGCTTCAACGGCGCCATTCATCTTCGGCCGGTAAGGAGATGAGTTGTGGTGTTCGATCTTGAAACTCTAGCACAGCTCCTTCATCATCTTGTTATTCAAATTCGAACCATTATCAGTAATGATCCGCTCGGGAATTCCGTAACGACAGATGATATCCCTCTTTATGAATTTAGCCACCACCTGCTTGGTCACGTTGGCATACGAGACTGCCTCCACCCACTTGGTGAAGTAGTCGATAGCTACTAGAATGAAGCGATGACCGTTAGATGCAGTGGGCTCGATCTTGCCTATCATGTCGATGCCCCACATGGAGAACGGCCACGGGGAGGACATGACGTTTAACGGGCACGGCGGCACATGAACTTTATCAGCATAAATCTGGCATTTATGACATCTCTTCGCGAATTTGAAGCAATCAGACTCCATTGTCAGCCAGTAGTATCCTGCTCTCAGGATCTTTTTTGTCATAGCATGCCCGCCGGCGTGCGTACCAAATGTGCCTTCATGGACTTCTTCCATGAGCATACTCGCCTCTTTCTCATCTACACATCTGAGTAGCACGAGATCGTGGTTTCTTTTATACAAAACTCCATCAGGATTGAGATAAAAATTTCTAGACAGCCTCCTCAGAGTCTTCTTATCCTGGGTTGACGCTCCCGCAGGATACTCCTTAGTCATAAGGAAAGTCTGGATGTCATGGAACCATTGCTTGCCGTCGGAGGCTTCCTCGATCGCAAAGACGAATGCAGGTCTATCAAGACGGGAAATAACAATTCTTGGAGCTTCATTCCAAAAATTGACTTTATACATCGAAGCCAACGTGGCTAAGGCATCAGCCATTTGATTTTCGGCCCTGGGCACATGATGGAGTTCCACTCGATCAAAGAACGGAAGCAGCCTTCTGGCATAGTTCATGTACGACACCAAATTCGATTGACGAGTCTCCCACTCCCCTTTAATCTGGTTGATCACAAGCGTCGAGTCACCATATACGTCTAGGTTCTTGATTCTCAAATCAATTGCTTCTTCTAGACCCATGATGCATGCTTCGTACTCCGCTTCGTTATTGGTGACTGGAAACGTCAGTCTCGCAGTAAACGGGATGTGGGATCCGTGAGGAGTCGTGATGATCGCCCCAATGCCACTTCCATAAGAATTAACCGCCCCGTCAAATATCAATTTCCACTGGGATTTCCTATCTGGACCCTCGTCGGGCAACGGTTCATCGTAATCTATCGCTTTAAGAAACATGATATCCTCATCAGGGAATTCAAATTTCATCGGCTGGTAATCCTCGATCGGCTGTTCGGCAAGGTAATCGGACAATACGCTTCCCTTGATGGCCTTCTGGGAAACGTACTGAATGTCATATTCTGTCAATACCATTTGCCATCTGGCGATCCTGCCCGAAAGCGCTTGCTTCTCGATGGCGTACTTGATCGGATCCATCTTTGAAATTAGCATGGTGGTGTGGTTGAGCATGTACTGTCGTAAACGTTTGGCAGCCCAGGATAGTGCACAACACGTCTTCTCCAGCATCGAGTAACGAGATTCACAGTCTGTGAACTTTTTACTCAAGTAGTAAATGGCATGCTCCTTTCTGCCCGTCCCGTCGTGCTGACCGAGAACACACCCCATACTATTCTCAAGAACTGTCAAGTACATGATTAAGGGCCGTCCGGCCACTGAGGGTATCAAGATTGGAGGTTCCTGCAGATACTGTTTTATCTTGTCAAATGCCTTCTGGCAATCCTCGTTCCAGATAATCGCCTGATCTTTCTTTAGTAGTTTGAACATCGGTTCACACGTGGCTGTGAGCTGAGAAATAAACCTTGCAATGTAGTTTATCCTGCCCAGGAAACCACGAACTTCTTTTTCTATTTTTGGCACTGGCATTTCTTGTATCGCTTTAATCTTCGTAGGATCAACCTCGATGCCTCTTTCGTTCACGATAAACCCCAGTAGTTTTCCAGACCGTACTCCGAAAGTACACTTGTTAGGATTCAGCCTCAACCTGAACTTCCTAAGCCTCTCAAAAAGCTTCAGCAAATTGACCAGATGCCCCTCCTCCGTTTGGGACTTCGCAATCATGTCATCAACATAGACTTCAATCCCATGATGAATCATATCATGAAACAAAGTGACCATTGCTCGTTGGTAAGTGGCCCCTGCGTTCTTCAGACCGAAAGGCATTACCTTGTAGCAAAATGTTCCCCAAGGTGTGATAAACGTAGTTTTCTCCATGTCCTCCGGCGCCATCTTGATCTGATTGTAACCGGAGAAGCCATCCATGAACGAAAACACGGAGAACTGAGCTATATTGTCGACCAACACATCAATATGAGGCAGCAGGAAATCATCTTTAGGGCTCGCCCTATTCAAATCCCGATAATCGACGCACATTCGCACCTTATCGTCCTTCTTCGGTACAGGCACTATGTTGGCGACCCACGGAGGGTAAGTAGTGACCGCTAAGAAGCCAGCATCAAGCTGCTTCTGCACTTCTTCTTTGATCTTAACGGCCATATCTGGTCGCGTCCTCCTAAGCTTCTGCTTAACGGGAGGACAATCTTCTCGCAGCGGCAAGTGGTGGACCACGATGTCAATATCAAGTTCGGGCATATCTTCGTATGACCAAGCAAAGACGTCACTATACTCTCTCAGCATCTCGACTAATCTCTGCTTGACATCACTCTGCAATGCAGCCCCTATCGTGACGTTCCTGACTAGTTCTTCAGAACCCAGATTCACGATCTCAATCTCCTCTTCATGCGGCAAAATAACTTTCTCTTCTTGTTTCAACAAGCGGGCCAACTCTTCAGGAAGGTCTTCGTCTTCATCAATCTCTTCTTCGGCTTGATAGATTGGGCAATCGAAGTCGAAGTGAGTCGTAGAAGGTCCAGAGTCGATGTCATCTGCTATGTGGATCCTGCAATAACAAGGGTTAAGCTTAAAACGAGGATATGCAGGTTATCACAAACCCCATTGCCATTTTATTATTTTTCAAAACAAATATAAAACAGGAATAACAGAGATCACAATATTTGAATACGAAGAAAAACGCCTTTTGATTTATTGATAAAATGCATGTACATAATCAAACAAGGCCCTGACAATAAAACCAATATGCCCCGGGTAGGACATAGGGTTGTACAATGATTGGAAAAAGTAAATCATTACTCTTCACTTGTCATCTGAATGATATCCTTGACAGACCAATTGTTGAGGCTCTCGCTTGGCTTGCTTGGCTGGATCGAAGAGTCTAAGTCACAATCGCTATCTCCGCTGTCTTCAGACACCGCGTTGACGCTTTCAAATATCACCCCGCCACTGGTAAACTGGATCGGCCCTTTACCTCACGACGCACTGCTAGAAGAGGAGGCTTCAGCTCCAGGAGAGTATCCCAACCCAAACTTGTCTTGCTTGTTAGGTATCTCCAAAATTCGTCCCCAGCCTGGGGTAGATCCGGCTTGAACAACAGCCCGGGCTTCCTTGAAGGAAGAGAGAGTCATCTCTGGCCTTTCAGTGACTACAGGAGCTACGTCCTTGACTTTAACAGCTTCGAACGTTTGGCATAGGGTTTCGTGGATTTCCGCATCCATCTCAACATACTTGAAGGACGACAAATGGCTTACCATTATGTCTTCCTCGCCACAAACAGTCACGATGCTACCTCCGACGGTGTACTTGAGCTTCTGGTGCAACGTGGAGGTCACAGCACCTGCGGAATGGATCCATGGCCAGCCCAAGAGACAGCTGTAGGCAGGCATGATGTCCATAATGTAAAAGACTGTGTTGAATGTTTCCGGCCCGACTTGGATTGGCAACGCCACCTCCCCGAAAACATGGCGTTTGGTTCCATCGAACGCCTTCACAACCAGATCACTAGGTGTGCAGATCACTCCGCGAGTATCTAACTTCATTAATGCCTTCTTCGGAAGAACATTGAGCGACGACCCTGTGTCGACCAACTGTCATACCCCAAATTTGTCCTACCTTTTTTCAAAATTCTCATTTGCCCGACTTTGTTTTTAATTTACCTCGCTTATACAGCGTAGCGTATTTTTCAGCAAAAAAACAGGCATTTTCGCTTTTTAGCCCAATAAGAGTATGCCACGTGGCATTTGTTTTTTATATATATCTATCATTTTTTTTATATAATTTCATTTTTTTTCCATGATAGGTTAATATAATGTTTTTTTTTGTTTTTTTAATTAGTTTTGAATTATGAATTAGGATTTAAATTAAATTTTTTTTTTAATTAGATAGATTTAATTTAGAACTTAATTATAATTTAGAAATTTTAATTTAAAAAAATATATAGATTAAAAATAGAGTTAGAATTTAATTAGGATTTATTTTAAAAAAATTACATTAGATTTTAATTAATTAGCTTAGATTTATTTAAATAGATTTACTAATTTAGTTTATTATTCAAAAATTAGAAGAAAAAAATAGAAAAGAGCTGAGTGAGAAACACGGTTGTGAAGTGGATATAAAAGGGTAACATACCCTAAAGATTGAGGGAGGTCACTGTTCATCAAGCCCTACCTTGGGCCGCCCAAAATAAAAAAAAAAACCCCAAAATTGGAATCACTATTCATCTCTCCATCCCCTAAAAAACCCTAATTCTCCGCCGCCGTAACCCTACTCCTTCTCCCTCGCCGAAATATCTTTCTTCCTCCCCCTGTCCTCCATAACCACCACGAACCTCACACGACCCTTCTATCCCGAAACTCACTTTCATTTTATAACTAACCCAAAATTTCCATGGAAATTCAACCTATTGTTTCTGGGTTTTCTCCAAAATCATCACACACACCCTCAATTCCAAACGAAAATCAACTTTTCTCTTTGAAATTCCCTTCTATACTTTCTTCTTCATGCCTTTCTCTACACTCCCAGAATTCTGAGGTTTTGAGCGGAGCTTATTTCCCTATCAACATTGCAAAAAAAAAGGGAAGATGTTATAGCTCTAGGAGGAGAGTATGGTGCAGCAGTAGCAGGGGAATTGCAGATCCAAACAAGGGGCACGGAGTGAGAGCTCAGGTCATGGAGAGAAGGAAAAAGTTGGCCGTGTTTGTGTCTGGGGGAGGATCTAACTTCAAATCGATTCACGAGGCATCCAAAAGGGGATCACTTCATGGAGATGTCATTGTATTGGTGACGAATAAAAGCAAATGTGGAGGTGCTGAGTATGCAAGAAATAGTAGTATACCAGTTATATTGTTCCCTAAAGCAAACGATGAATCTAATGGATTATGTCCTAACGACCTTGTTGATACACTAAGTTGAAATGCAAAGCAAAAAAAATCAATTTAGCTATGACTAAATTTGCAAAAGGATAAACAAATACAGTGATATGGTACATTTTTTCAACAGGAGATTGGAGGTTGATTTTATTCTTTTAGCTGGATACCTCAAACTTATACCAGTGGAACTGATCCGAGCTTATGAAAGATCAATATTTAACATTCATCAATCACTTCTTCCAGCTTTTGGAGGCAACAACCACTTTGGTATGAAGGTTCATAAAGCCGTAATTGCTTCTGGCGCAAGATTTTCAGGTCCTACAATTCATTATGTGGACGAACACTACGACACAGGGCGTATCCTTGCCCAGCGTGTCGTCCCTGTGCTAGCTAATGATACTGCAGAAGACTTGGCTGCCAGGGTTTTAAGAGAGGTACAACAGCAGTTCGCAGCAATAACATGGCAGTTCACGCCGTTTTAAAATGGTAGCAGCGGATCCCTAGCTCGTTTGCGACGTTGATTCCGATGATGTCACATATCTGGTCTAAATAACGTAACAGAACTCGACGTCAGTCGCAGCATGTCACTAACAAGAACGCCATAGCAGTCTTGGGTCAATATTTGCAGCATTAATGTTCGAAGACTTTCAATCTCTTTTGGTGGATCACACTGATATGGAGCAATTAAGAACAAGATTTCTTAAAGGCTCTCACAAGATCAGTAATGTGGCGATAAAAAATTCTTAGCTCTCACAGAATCAAAGCCTAAAACTCGTCATACCGCCATCTATGCATGAGCCACCATGGATCTATCATCAAAACAACAACAACTCGATAGTAGCTAGCATTTTCAGTTCTCGTAATCAGGAACTCTGAGCAGCATCTCGGTTCACCACCACTACGCAACAAATCCAAGCTCATATCGGATGATGTACCTACTGCCAAGTTTGTGCATCAGCACTGTAAGCTTATTTGTTATGTATTGAACCATGTTGCAATTCTGTGCGTGGATACTAGTTCGAGGACGCCATATTGGTTCCTGTCGACTATTCTGCATCGAAGGCTTAGTGTTGCATCACTTTGATAACACCTTAACATGACGATAACGGTAATAAATAATACCTATCACCATCTCCGCCGGCATCACGATAATAGAATGGTTCTTTCTTTTACCTTTGTGTCATACTGTTATGTGTTGTTCCTTTTCATCAAATTCAATTTTGTGGCGGTATTGGTATTTCTAGCAGATTTTTGATTTGATTTTGTGGAACTATTATTTACTGTCTGTGGTTTACCTTCATTTGTTTAATGTGTGTGCTGTTGTAGTTAAGGTTATCAGTGGTCACAGCTGTGCAGTAATAACAATTTGTGGCTGCTGTGTGGGTTCATACCAGTAGCTCATCGCTGCCAACGTGTATTATTCGAACCGTTCTGCCGCAGTAAGAGGAGTACAGGACAATCACTTTAAAACCATGGAGGACACTAATGATGTGGTCGAAGATATTCAACGGTGTGCAAGTTAAAAGAGGAGCGGATGAGCTCAGCCGACTCACGCCGAAACTATTTAAATAAAGATTCAGTTGGCATTTGGGTAATCGTTTTCATTACAATGTCAATCATACATACTCAGTTTATCATTCATATGGGTTATTGTTATGTTGATTTCATGAGATTTATGGATGATGAACTGTTTAGTAGACGTAAGCGTGTGACATTTGGTAACACCTCAAACTAATTCATAATCTACTGACATTCTACAGCAAAAGTTCAATGTCAATTGTATGCCTTTTTCTGATATATTGAGCTATATAGACTGTAAATGCTTGAGCTGTTTTACTGAGTTTTGACCGTGCAAATAGATTCATGTGGCAGACCATTTTAAACTGTCAAACAAATGCTGCAAGATAGTTGTATTTCTACTACTGCGAATACTTCGTTATTTCGCTTACATTTCACACTACGTTGAACTTGTAAATTGGTATTTAAAGATGAGTTACTATTGCTGCTTGTATTTTGGTCCTGTTAGTGATGCATATGCGTGAGTTGAGTTCAAAAACGGTAACTGTCTATTTTAGTTTTTGCAAGATATATAAGATGTATGCTGTTCTGATTTCTCTGCCATCACATGGTCAGTTTCGAACTCGCGAAATTCGTTTTTTTTTTCTATTCTATCTGGGTTGGCTGTTGATTATGTGCAGGTTACGGCGTCGCCGAATTTCGATAGCGCAACAATAATGATGAAGCCAGATGATAGTAGCAACCCGCATCAGCAACTTTCAAGTCGCGGTTCGCATTGCGCGGTTACCTTTGATTTTGGTGCGTGATCACAATACTACGAAACACGCGAGTTCAATGAGCTTGGCAACATTGGGCTGGTTATAGGTTTGAGATTCAGAAGTTTGAATCCAACTTGGTTCACATCAACAACAATCTCATGGCAGCTCTCACTCTGGTTATACGGCGTCGGTAAACCTTTGAATCCTTGTTCTTTGATTTGTTTATACATAAGCACTCAATTAGGCTTGGTTGCTACTGGAGGTTTGATGTATTTATCATTGTTTATAAGGCATTTTATGGTTGTTTTTATTCTAAAAATTTTGTCGAATATCCGACGTGACGTCGTTAATATTCAAGCTGTTGTTTGGAATTAACAATATTAGTTCTTGGTTAGTAAATTATATCTAGCTGTTGTTGTGGTCAAATGTCATTTTCAAAAATATATTTCAAAAATTATTACCAAATAATATTTTAAATATTAAACTTAAACAAAACTAATTTATTAATAAAGTTAAAATATTTTTCTAAGATACTAAACTTTTTTTCAAAACAATTAAGTATGACTAGCTTTTCTCAAAATCTTTTCATAAACAATTGATTAATTTACTTTTATATATGAAAATTAAAATTAGTATTCTTAATTAAATTAGACTATTTTTCTTAAACAAATTTCAAAAGTAATTAAATTCTTGGATCTCGCCTTCCTTGAATTTTTAAGCAACCGCTCTCGAGGCGCACGCCTTTGAGTTGTGGTGTTCCGTCTTTCGGTTTTCAAATCTTTTTTTACTTAAATTAATTGGAATTTCTTAAAGATATTTTTTTTAATTACTCTTAGATATTTTTATTAAGGAAATTCAAATTATTCTTTTAAAACACATTTCAAAATTATTACTAAATTAATATTTTAAATATTAAAACTTTTCAAAATTATACTTTATTTAAAAAACTATTTCTTCTCAAAGACATTAAACTCTTTTTTTCAAAAACAATTAATTATAATAATATTTTAAGTATTGAAAAGCTATACTTTATTAATTGAATTGAAACTTTTCTAAAATATTAAACTTTTCCCAAATCAAAACTTTACAATTGATTATTTAATTCTATAAAAATTAAGACTTTTTTTTCTTATTTAAATTAAACTATTTCCTTAATCAAATTTCAAAACAATTAAATTCTTGGATCTCGCCTTCCTTGAATTTTTTTAAGCGACCGCTCTCGAGGTGCACACCTCGAGTTGTGACCCTTCCGATCTTACTTTCAAGAATACATAGCGCGCCTAGTCCGAGTACGCTAATAATTTCAAACTATTTCATAATTAAATTACGAAATAATCGAGTTCTTGGAGTCGCGCATTCCTCGAATTTGAGGGTGACTACTATTGAGGCGTACGCCTTGAATGGTGTGTCGTTCAAACTTTCGTTTCTAAAATATTTCCCATAATTATTTGGACAAGTATTCACTGTCCATACAAACCTATTTCATGATTAATAGGATGAAAAAGATGTCGTTGGGATCTAGCATTCCAACGATATCCCGACTAATTGGTTACGAGACCGACGTCTTTCTTATCAAATAGTCGTCATTCCTCCTAATTTTTCAAACCATCTAATCTCGTTCCTCACCTTCATACGATCGAGTCTAAACCCTAGTACGATTCTAAACCGTACGTTAAATTCAAATTACTTTCTTAACTAAATTGCGAAAGAATTGAGTTCTTGGAGTCTCGCACTCCTTGAATTTTTGAGTAACTACTCTTGGGGCGTACGCTTTAGGTTGTGGTTCGCTCGACCTTTCGTTTATAAAACACGTGCCCTAATTATTTGGACACATACCTTAATTGTCCATCCAAATACACTTTCCTAATTAATTGAATGAAAAAGGTATCATTGGGATCCAGCATTCCAATAATATCCCGATTAATCGATTGCGAGACTGACGTCTCGTTTATCGAGTAGTCGTCATTCTCCCTTAAAATATTCAACCCAACTTGCTTTCCTCGCCTCCGTGCGATTGAAACCTTCTCAAACACATTTCGTAGAATCTTTCGAATGAAAAAAGTGTCATTGGAATCCAGCATTCCAGTAATTCCCCGACTAATCGGTTGTGAGGCTGACGTCTCGTTTATCGAATAGTCGTCATTCTCTATCAAATTACCTAACTAAACTTCTATTTCTTGCCCCCGTGCAATCGAAACCTTAAACCTATTCAGATCCATTTTCTTTCCCAAACCAAAGCATCCAATGCGATAAACACAGATTCCTCGCCCTCGTGCGATTTCCAACCAAAGCACCTTTTGTCAAGAACATTGTTTAATCCCTTCTTCCCAGCATAACAAACTCGTGCTTCAGCCTCCCCTAGCGAGCAGGCAAGCCAATGTTTAGCAGTTAGAATGCGACCTAAACTCTCGTTCATTCCAAACACAAACCTTTTACCGTAGTTAGCCGAACTACGGCTGCTCTGATTCTTCATTCCCTCTTGAATGTAAGATACGTAGGCACAAGATTGCGATGATCTTGGCGAGCACAATTCCCTCCTTTTCCCGTAGTCCCACGAACTACGAATGCTCTGATTTTCCACTTTTTACAAGTGAAGATACGTAGGCACAAGGGCCCCAATCCTTGGCGAGCACCCTATCTTATAACCACCCATTTCCCCCTATAGGAGAAACCTTAGAAGAAAACAATAAGCATAGCTAACTTTACTCTCGAATCGATCAAGAGGTTCCCGTTGAGTACAACGGACATGAGGGGTGCTAATACCTTCCCCTCTTGTAATCGACTCCCGAACCTAGAATATTGGTTGCGATGACCATGTTCTTATCTCCCTTAAAGGTTTTATCGATATTTTCCTATTCCATCCTTGGAATGAATAAAGTTCGG